TGGACTTCAACCTATTTCATAATTTTGGAACTTATTCTTGAACCTTCTTTCTACTTTGATGGTGTAGATTTAATTATTGGGCCCTTTTCAGATTTGATTTTCATGTGTGACCATGAATATTCATTATTTTTTTCTATTTTTGGTACAGTTACTTTTTATTTCCTTACACTATTTAGTTTATTTATAGGTTCTTGTATTTACCCTTCTTTCTATTTCTACTATGCAAATACGTATTTTAAAAACAGATATATACTTAACAGAAAACAAAACTGTATTTATTGATACTTTTCTACTTATTAAGTTATTAAAAGAATAAAGAAATGATATATTTGACCTTCCTGTATATTATAGTTGTTTTTAAGAATATTAGCTCTTTTCTTTTGGGTATTCATTCATTCAGCAAATTTATTGAGAATGCTTTATGACTAGATATTGTTCTAAACACCAGGGAATTGGTGATGAATAAGACATTTCTATCCTGGAATTTACATTCATCATTATTGATTTATAGCCTTTCACAAACACAAGTTACTTTAATTAATTATAAGATTTCCTTTTGGAGTATCAGGAGGTCCTAGCTTAACCAGGGGGAGCACCTTTAAGTACATTGGCTCCCTTGTCTGTCATCATTGCCACTGCCCTTGAATTTCTGAAAGTATCCCTGCTTCCTGTAACAACTGATTATTTTAGAGCATCTGTTTTTTGCTTTTTTCCCCTAAGCCTACCCCAGATCTGAAACGACCATCCTCCAAGGAGACCTGTGCCTTTTATCGTACCAGTGGCACCCACTTGAGGTTCAGTGGGGCCGAGTCTGATGTAGTGGAAGAGCTGGGCAAGGGCAGGGTCTTCCTGAATGCATGAGGTCACATTGATTTTTCTATCTTGATCATGTATGTGCCTTCATTCTGATTTTCACTTTATTCAGTGAGGTTTCCTTGACAGTTTCCACATTGACTTTGAGTTGGATCTCTGCTGAACTACAGAGCTGGGAATCTGTTTTGAGTCAGCAGGTGTTTGAGGGTCCAGGGACGGTGAGGGGCCATAGAGGGAGCCGCCAGCTCTGTCTGGGTGTGTCAGACTTGCTTTGCCTGTGCCTACTGAATCCGCCTTTCCTTCTGACTTTCTGTCCACTCACTTGGGGTGTAGTCAGGGCTGCTTCCACTTGCAGACCCCACCAGACAGTGAGTTCTGACTTTATCTTCTTCTTCATGTCTTTTTCATCCTGACGCTTTCTCTCCCCCTCTTCTCATGTCTGACCTGTGTTCGCTTCTTGCCTAGCCTCTTAGCTTCAGTTTCTGTCTCCCCCTTTCCTCTCTGCTGTCCTTCTGTGCTTTCAGAGTGATCTTCCTTTGTGAAATCTCAAGTTCTCCTGCTGAAATCCTTCAGCTGCTTCCCCTTGGGATGAAATGCAGAGTCTGTAGCGTGCCGTGAAGACCTCCCTAGTGATGTTCCTTCCTCCGCCCTGAAGCCTGAGCTGTCCCCTGGGAGGACCCTTTGCTCAGTCTTTCCGGCCCAGCTTCACATCTGTCTGTCGTTTGCTCTGTCTAACAGTAATCTTTCTCTTTCTGCTCATTGGTGTGACTTACTGGTCTTTTAGTGAAAACCTGCTTCAGTAAGCCTATCTTTGATTATGTTTTCCATAGCTTTAAGCCTGGAGGACCTTTTTTCCCATTATTAATACTAATAAACTTAGTCATTATTTTAAACATCATTTGTTAGCTTTTTTCAGCCAAGCACATTGTCATTTGTTCCCCCCCCACCCCATTACTCTAGATCCAGTGATCTTTCAGTCCCATTAGGACCTTCGCGTCCATTGATCCTATTTACTCTCTTACGTTCTTAACCCCAGAGTCAGTCACTATAACCATTACCTTAAAGGATTTCTCTGCTCCCTATTCTCAAGTCATTGTATTTTTTTGGCAAAACTGCAACTCTGGCATTTCCTTTCTACTCCATCTCTGCCCATGACACTTAAACTTGGCTGGAAGACAAATTTCATGGAGAACAGGCTCATTTTAAAGTTGTAAGCATGAACCACAGGTGGGCCTGGATGTTTCTATCCTTACCCCTCTCACCTCTCCTAGAGGACTGTTTCATACTTCCACCATTCTCAAACCCTCCAACCTGTGGCCTCACCCTCCCTTGCGGATGGTGCTTTCTCCTTGGCCAAGAACTTCCTTCCAATCTTACCCTCGGTGCCACCTTGGCATCTGAGTCTCTGCTGCCCCCTTTCCTGAGATGAGCTGTCTGTACCTGTCAGTGAGGGCCTGCCTGTGTGCCAGGTCTTTGCCCCTTCCTCACCTGCAGCTTGCTCCAGCATTCCTCCTCCTCTGGCCTACAGTTTCCAGTCTAGAATCTTCTCATCAGTGTACACACTTGCTGTTCTTAAAATCTATCTCACCCCCACGTCCCCATCAGCCACAATCCTATCTCCTTGTTCCTCTGCAGCAAAGCTCCTTGGAAGTGTCCTCTGAACCCCCCTCTCCAGACCTTGCCTCCTGTTTTCTCTGCACACACTTCAGGGTGGCTTCCAGCTCTACTGCTGCTCTGAGCCTGCTCCTGTCCAGCTCCCCGGCCCTCCCCGACGTAGACCTGGTGGCTCTGCTCATCCCTTGTGCGGCTGGGCTGTCAGCAGCGGCAACTCCTCATCACAGCTTCCTTGGCCTGACTTTCGGATGCCAAGTGCTCTGGGTTTTCCCTTACCTGGCTGATCACTTGCCCTCTTCTCATTTGCTTTTCCTCATCTCTAACTTAATGCTGGAGTTCATCTCACAGGGAGGAGGTCCTACTCTCCTTGATGATCTCAGATGAGTTTCCTGGCTTAAATCATGATCTATATGCTAAAGAGTCCCAGACTTAAACCCTGGCCCATACAGCTCTCTACTGGTGTATCAGACTAACTACTAGGCATTTCACCTCAGCATGTCTCGAAGTAAACAGATCTTCCCTTCCATCATCTGCATCTCAAGTGACAGCAACCCTGACCTTCCGTGTGTCTGGGCCAGAAACTTAGAATTGTTCTTTTCTTTTTCTTTCCTACTCCATGCTCTGCTGCAGAAAGCTTCCCAGATTTGAGTTGCCATCTGAACTGATGGACTGGCTGTCCGCCTGGCCTCCACTCTTGCCCTGTCTGTGGTTTCTTTTCCATGCAGTGGCCAGTGATTCCTCATGAGGAAGCCAGTTAGGTCCCCTCTCTCACCCTGCCCTACAGTGGCTCCGACCCCAGGACGGCCTCCAGTTCCTGTCTGACCGGCATCCTTGGCTTCCTCACGTCACTGCCTCCTCCTCCGTGTTGCTCATTCTTTCTGAGCTCACCGGCCTCCTTGCTGTGCTGTGACTGTACCAGGCACCCCACACCCTGGTGTATTCGCTGTGCTTCTGGGAAAGCTCTCCCCCCGACAGCCACCAGGCTTGTTCTCCCCCTCCACGAGGCATTTGTTGGGTGGTTCCTAACACGGTTAGTGACGTGGCTTGCCTTCTGTGCACACTGCCCCCACCCCCACCCCCGTCTTCGCCATTTCTCCTATAGCCCTGTCACCTCATGTTAGTTTCCCTACAATCTTTTTTATTCTTTGTATTCCTGGGACCTAAAACAGTACCTGATAGTAGGTATTTTATAAATATAAATTGCGATTGAATTCTTTTAACTGTTGAGGAATAATTCAAAACTATAGTTACACGTATTTAAAATGTACACTGTGATGATTTGATACACATATACACCGTAGAATGGTTACCAAGATCCAGATCATTAATCTCTCACCTCACACTGTTAGTTGTTCTCTTGTCACGAGAGGACTTACGGTCTGCTCTCAGCCACTTCCAAGTACAACACCATCAAGCGCGGGCACCCTGCTGGACAGAAGAACCTGCTCTTCTTGTGACTGACAGTTTGTACCCTTTGACCTCCATCCCCCCATTTCCCTCTCCCTTGCCCCAGGCACCTACCATTCTGTTCTCTTTCTGTGATACTGGCTTTTCCCCCCAATATTCCACAAACAAGCAATATCATAGAGTATTTATCCTTGGCTGATTTGTCTTTGAATTCTTAACCTATTTTGACTTAAGCTAGAGTTTTAGTACTAATAAGTCTGTTTTCCTGCATGATAAAAATGCTCAATGCTTAAAAATGTTAGAAATTTCTCATTTATTGGTCAGAAACCACAATTTATAAATAGGGAGACTTACGTTCAGGGAGGTTAATGACTTTGTCCCAAGAGCTTTCAGCGCCCAGAACTGGGACTCGAGCCTCGAAGTTGCCTGGTTCAGAGTCCGCGCTCTGCGTGCGATGCCACACCTGAGGAAGAGGTTCCTTTAAAAGCCCTAGTTTCCTCCCCTTTCCCCTGGGCTGCTTTGTTGGCTGTTGTGAGGCTTACGTGAGAATGGCGGACAGGCAAGGGCCACGCGTGTGGGAGGTGGTTACGGCCCTTTGCTGCCTCCGCCTTGTGTCTGAGTGGCACTTGGCTGGGGACGCCCTCTCGCTCCTGTCTCTGCTCCCTTCCTCAGCTCTCAGTCACTCTCCAAACCTGCACCTGCATATGCCGGTGGGTGACCATCTCTCCCTAGTTCTGACGTCAGATTGCTTCTAGACATTTCCAGGGGTTTCTTCACTTACATACTTAATCCATCTAAAGCAACTCATTTTCTTAAAACCTCTTTCATGAATTCCAAATAGACTCGGTTTTCTGAGCTGGTAGTTTGACTTTGAATCTTCTTTCATTTCTGATGTCTTAGTTTAGACCATTATTACCTCTTAGAAGTGTTACTGCAGTGAACTCCTAAGCGATGTTTGCCTCCTTCTGGAATTAATTTTGTTGATGGTATGAGGTGAGGCTCTACCTCGAACGTCTATCCCCCTTCCTGAGAAACCCAATGTTATTTAAATGTGATTGACTAAGCCTTCGCTTTTCTGCTTTCTGTACTAGGCTAACTATTCTGTTTTGTTGATGTGTCTCTTCTGTTGCATTATTTTAATTCTAATAATGCTTTTCTTTTGAGAGGTTTTGAAACAGCAGATAGCAGATTTACAGGAAGATCTGAAAAGAAAGGAAGCAAAATGGTCAAGCACACATGGCCGTCTTAGAAGCCAGATAGAAATGTTGGTCAAAGAGAACACAGACCTCCGGGAAGAAATAAAAGTGATGGAAAGATTCCGACTAGATGCCTGGAAGAAAGCAGAGGCTACTGAGAGCAGTGCCAAGTTGGGTCAGTGTGCAACTGCTGTGAAAAAAGATGGGTCCATGGTAGGTGTGGAGACCAGCTGGTTTTGTTGAGTCGGAGATATGTTAAATGTTCGAGCAGTCAGGTTTGTAGAGACAGGAAGTGGAAAGGTGGCTGCCACTTCTGGAGGGAGTTTTGCAAGATGAAGAGAGCTCTGGAGATGCGTGGTGGTGACGGCTGCACGACAGTGTGAATGTGTTTACTGCCACTGAACTGTGCACTCAGTTAAGAATGATTAAGATGGTCACTTTTGTTATGTATATTTTACCACAGTTGTGGCATATTTTACCATAAATGAAAAAAAATCTGCTATGCAAATAGTTTTCAGATTCATTTTATAATTTTTATAAAGGAATCACACCACAGTAGGGAGATAATTTCATTTAAAACAGGTCAGTGATCCTTTTGAATCAAGTAATTGGTCTCTCGTTTGTCTGTATTCCCAACACTGCTTTTAGACACTGGGGATCAAGCGATGCGGAGAGCAGACCACTTCCGTGCACTCTTGGATTTATACTCTAGAGGCGGGAGCAAGGCCATAAATGAGATTGATAAATAAAAGCCAGGGTGTGTGACACAGTGATGGGAACTGTGGGAAAGGCAAGCGGGTGACTGCCGGGGCGGGGGTGCTGCAGGCTCAGATGGGATGGCCAGGGAAGGCCTCACTGGGAAAGCAGCTGGGAATGAGTGCCCAAAGAGGGTGTGAGCCTGTATGAGAGCTGGGCGAGGGCGGCAGAGGCGTACATAGTGAGGCTCTCTGCCTGGTCGGCCTGAGGCTGGAGACCAAGACTGGAGCTGTGACGGAGGGTGGCGGGGGCAGAGCTCCTTATGCCAGAGAGACGCGTGTGGGCACCCGGACTTTCTCCCCAGGCGAGATGGGGAACCCTTGGAGGGCTTTGATTGAACGGGTGGCTTGATCCTTTTTGTAGTGAGCTCGCTTGCTGAGGCTTTAGACTGAGGGGCAGTAGGAACACCAGTGGGGATTGTTGAAGCATTTCAGACCAGAGATGATGGTGACTCAGGTTGGGGGAGTGTTAGTGGAGGGGTAGGAAATGGACAGGGTTTCCTGATGAACTGGATATGGAGAGTGACAGCCAGAAGGGAGTAGGAATGGCCTCCAGTTTGGTGTAGTGCTTTGGCACAACACAGTTTCTGAATACTGAGAGACTGCGAGAACAATGACTGCTCAGGGGCGCAGATAGTAGGGGCTCGGGTTTAGATGAGGTAAGTTTGAAATGCCTACTGGATGTCGGGTGGGTATGTTGATGGAGCAGCTGTACCCATTTGAGGAGAAAGTCGGGTTGCAACCTGAAGTTCGGGGGTCATCAGAACATGTGGTGAAGCTCTGGGCCGGGAGAGGTCACCAAGGCTGAACTCATGGGCAGTTAGGAGGTCCGTCTGAGCTAGACTGTGAGAAGAGGGGGATGCAGAGAATGCACACTCGGAGTACAAAGTAAAGGCCCGCGTGATGTCCTGAGATCCCAGTGAAGAGCAGACCTCAGGGGTGGGAGGGTAGCTGCTAGGTAAGACGAGGACTGGAAATGAGCCATTGGATTTACCAGGTGGAGGCATGTTGAAGCTGAAAGCCTGCCTGGATACGTGAATGAGGGCAGCTTGTGGAGAAGCTCTGCAGTGACAAACTGGGGTAGTGGCTGTAGGGGAAGTATTTTTATGTTTTAAGATGGGAAAATTGACTCAATAGAGAGGACAATACTGATGCAGCAGAAAGTGGGAGAATTGTTGAAGAGTGTTTATTGTGAGAGGAGATGGGCCTTTGGGATGGTGGGGGCTGGGCGTGGCCAGGAGCACAGAGGTGTGGGGCCGGGGCCAGGGCGGGCATGTGGCACCAGTCGGAATAAGTGCCCTCTGAATGTGTTAACATTCTCAAGGAAGTGGGAGAGTGGTCATCAGCCGGGTGAGGATAGAGGAGTTGTAGGAGGTTTGAGGAGATGGAGCAAGTGTGACATCATGTGGAAGAGAGGGGAAGCAACGGGCTGAGGAAATGTAGCTTGATTCCTAGGCTGCTTTGGGCATCCGTGGATATAGAGATCATGTAGTTCAAGTGAGAACTGTTTACATTACTGTTTTCTGTTCAGCTTTTTGGTTGTAGGGAGGTGGAGAGTTACATTTTAGAAGAGGTGTGATCATCCAGGCGGATACCACACAGTGAGAGAGGGGCATGGAGGTGAACAGTGTGCAGCACGAACGACTGCAGGGGCCCAGGGTGTGAGGCGGATGAGGAGGGCATTTGAGGGACATAGAAACCTATGTGGGTCAGTGGTTTTCAGGCTGAAAGCATTGTGGGAGTTAGGGTATTAGAAGGAATGAGCTGAAGGACAGGATATGGTAGTTGGAAAATGGAATTTTCCTCTCCTCCCCAAAACTTTATGAAAGCTTCCCCTAATAGAGAAATTTGAAAGAAGAGTATGATGGGCACCTGAATACTCACCTAGATTCAACCACTGTTAGCATTTGCTGTATTTATATGTATGTATTTTACTGGACCATAAAGGTAATTGTAGAAATCATGGCATCTCACCCCTAAATACCTCAGTATTTTATTGAATGGCATTGGATTTTTTAAATAAACCAGGCCTATTATTTTTGTAGAATGCCCCACATTATGGATTTGAATGATTTGAAAATAAGATTTTTGCAGTTATTGATGACTGCAGATACTAATAATGACGAGTTCTAGAGTTTGCCTGTTGGAGTGCATGGCAGGGTAGGACAGAGTACATACTGGAGGGAGTGTGTCAGCAAACAGTAAGTGAGGCATGGGGCATCTGGAGAGGAGGGGTACCTGACAGCTGAGTAGGCAGACGTGGGGCTTGGAGCTGGGGCATGGCTGGTTGGGGTTAGAGAGACAGATTTGGCTGTAAGGGCTGATGGAGAACAAGAAGACATCTACCCTACCTCCAAGCCTGGGGCGTGAGCTCTGAGGGCAACAGACTTCATCCCTGGGAGGGGACAGTGGTGAACGGTCCTCTCAGTGGGGAGCTAGGGCTCATTACGGGGCTGGAGCAAGACGGGGACGTGTTCACAGGAGGGCCAGTTTTTGTTGACCAGGACCTTCTGCCTTCTCTAGCTGATCTGCTCAGTCACAGAGGACTGTTTTGTTTTATGTTGTCTGTTACACCCTCACTTGAAGAACGGATACAGTTCCAAAGGCACACGTGTGTGTGCACACAAGCTTGTGTATGACTCATTCCTAGACAACGGCTTGCTCACTCTGGCCTATAATGACAAATGAAAACAACATAAGTGAACAAACATGAAGCATTCTTGTTGCAAGCTGAGCTCTGCACGTTTCATTCATTATGCTAATATGTAGACTGATGCTGATTTTGTCTCCCAAATTATCTCATACTATAGAGCTCATCAGTTCGATTTCAAAAGAGTCAAATTTCTTCAGGAACCCAAGTAGAAAAATATAAGAAAAATTATTTGCCAACACAAGGTAAGAAGTTGAATCATCTTTTTATAAAATATTTAAGGAATTTAAAGAATAGAGAATTTGCACCTAAGAAATAAAATGTAAATATAATTAGAGCCAGTATATTCTACTCCCCCACTAATTTCCTCCCTGACAGTATTCCTGCCCTTGTTTTTCATTCTTTTACTATATTGTGTCCATAAATCAATATAGTACTGTTTCACACTCTGTATCTTTCTGCAATTTGCTTTTTTCTCTCAATATTTTAAGACTTACCCACACTTACATAACCTCTAGTTTATTGATTTTAATAGCTGTACAGATTCCATGTATATTTGCCTCAATTAACTTTTGCTGTTGATGGACATTCAGGTTTTGTCCCGGTTTGTCAATGGAATGAATAGGGTTGCAGAACATGACTTGATCCTGTGATTTTCTCTAGGACACATATCAAAAGTGGAATGCTGGGTCATAGCAGGTTTGTGCAATTGTAGGTTTTCCCTTAGCAAAGTGGTTTTACCAGTGGTTTTTTTTTTAACCATCAGCAGAATATGTTCTTTGTGCTTACCAACCCTTGATCTGGTCAGACTTTAAAATTTGGGCCAGTCAGGTGTGAAATGGGAGGGTCAGTGAAGTTTTAATATGCATTTCTCTGATTGCTGGTGGGGTCATGTGGACATTTGGTTTTCCTCTTCTGTGAGTTGCCTTTATGTTTCTTTTGCTCATTTAAAACTTGTTGGGTGGAAGTGTGTTTTTCCTTAATGAATTAATTATTCTGCATATTAATCCTTTGTCAGTTACAAGCACTGCCAATATCTTCTTCCAATCTGGGTTCAGCTTTTTGGTTTGTGTTTTTTTATACATGTTTTCCTTTTAATATTGAATTTATCAGTTATTTTTCATGACTTTAGGAAATCCATCTCAGTCCTCATGTCACAAATATACTATTTTCTCCTATGAACTTTTGTTTTCACAACTGGATCTCTGAATCTACCCGGAATTTTTAGAAATCGTTTTTGTGAATTAAATTTAGGAAAGTGGATATAACATATGCAACTTGATGATTATAAAGGAACTACTTGGATAACCACCAGCTAGATAAAATAGGTTAGCACCCCAAAGCTGTTCCCTCCATGATCACGTTACAATTGCTTTTCCTGGTAGTTTTTACTCCCACAGGTTGCAGCCCTAAAAATAGGTTTTACTGGTTTTTGAACTTTCTGAGTAGTTGTGCTGTATGTGCTATGTTGCCTTTCATTATATGCTGTGTTTGAGACTCAATCATGTTGGTCAGATCTCTAGTTCACTAGATTTCACTGCAAGGGAGTATTTCAGTTATGAATATATTACAATTTACTATTCTTCTTTTGATGGTTAAATTTAAGTTTTGGGATGTTAAATAATGATGCTATAAACATTCCTGTACACTGCTGGGACACACATCCGTTTCTAGAGGGCATATAACTAGGTCTGGAATTCTGGGTAATTGGGGGAATATGTTTAACACTGACAGATTTTGCCAAAATACTTTCCAAAATGATTTTACTCTCTCACCAGCAATGTAAGTGCTTCCTTTTCTCCACACTTTGTTAATACTTGGTATTGTCAGACTTAAATTTTTGCCAGTCTGGTAGAGGAGGTAATAATATCTCATTATAGTTTTAATTTGTATCACCCTGATTACTTAGTATGTTGAACACCTTTGCCTATGTTTAGTTGCTCTTTAGATTCCCTCTTTGAGACGGAAATGATTCAGTCTTTTACTTGTTATTCCATGGAGTTGTCTGTTTTCTCTATTTGATTTGTGGGAGGGTAACCACCTCCATCATAATCCTTTAACAATTACATGTATAGCAAATATCTTCTCCCAGTATACTGCGTTTCTTTTTACTCTACATCTTTTGATAAACCAACATTATTTTTTTATTGAAATATATCTGACATATAAGTTGTGTAAATTTGAGTTGTACATGTTGATTTGATACATTTTTATATTATAGTATTATTGCCAGTTAGCACCTCTGTCACATTTTTAGTGGAGAGAATAATTAAGATACCATCTCTTAGCGGCTTGATGATCTCTTGTGATCCTGTGTGTTTCTGCAGTATCAGTTTAATAACTCTTTTTTCAACTCTAGTTCTGTTTATTTGTGTTGTCTTCTCTCCTTTAATTAATCTAGTTAAAGGTTTGTCATTTTGTTTATCGTTCTGAAATACCAGCTCTTAGTTTTGTTGATCCTTTTTGTTGTTTTTCTTGTATCTATTTCATTTACTTTCCAATCTGATAATTTCAACTCTGATCTTTATTATTTCCTTACTTCTCCTAATTCTGGTCTTAATTTCTTCTTCTTTGGCTAGGTCCTAGAGGTGTAAAGTTTGATTTTTATTTCAGATCTTTCTAATTCCTTCATATATGCATTTATCATTGAAAACTTTCCTCTCTCAGCTGCTTTTGCAGTATCCTATGGGCTTTGGTATGTTGTGTTTCCATTTTCGTTTGTTTTGATACATTTTTTAAATTTCTCTTTTGATTTCTTCTTTGCTCCATTCATTTTTCGGTGTGTGTATTTTCCAGATATTTGTAGCTTTTCCAGTTTACTTCTTGTTGATTAGTAATTTCATACCATTGTGGTTAGAAAAGATAGTTGGTATGATTTCAGTCTTAAATTTGCTAAGAATTGTTTTGTGACTTATGTTGTCTCCTGGAGAATATAATATACTCTGTATACTTGAGAAGAATATGTATTCTGTTGCTGGATGGAATATTCTTTATATGTCTGTTTAGTTTGTTTGGTCTAAAGCGCAGGTCAGTTCCAGTGTTTTTTGTTGATTTTCTCTGGGTGATCATCCATTGCAGCATAGGCTATAGAAGTTCCCTGCATCATTGCATTGTCTATTTCTCCCTTCAGATCTGTTAGTATTTGCTTAATATATTTAGGTGCTCTGATTTGTGTTCATAAGTATTTATGATTGTTATATCTTCTTGATAAATTGACCCCTTTAATATCATCTAATAACCTTCTTTGTCTCTTGTCACCATTTTTGGCTCAAGTATGTCCTGTCTGATAAGAGCATGGCTGCTGCCGCTTTCTTTCAGTTTACTTTTGCATGGATACCTTCTTCTGTCTCTTTGCTTCAAGCCCATGTCTGTATATACTGCTGAGATGAGGCTGCGTATAGTTGGGGCTTGTTTTTTATCCATCTAGCCACTCTACGTTTTGGTTGGTGGATTCAATCCATTCACCTTTAGTTGGTTACTGACACATAAGGACTTAATACTGCTGTCTTGTTGATGGTGCTCTGATTGTTTTGTATTTCCATTGTTTCTTTTTCCCTGTTTCAGCCTACCTTTGTAAACTAGTGATTCTCCATGGTGTTCTGTTTCCCCTTTGCTTTGCGGGTCTACTCCAGGTATTTTTCTTGTGGTCACCATGAGGCTTACATAAAACATATCACAGAACTGTCTATCCTGATAGAAAAGCAACTTCTCTTTGTTCACCTAACAGGCTCTGCTCTTTTAGTCCTTCCCTTTTATATTTTTGATAATCACAGTTTATTTCTTTTTATGCTGTGTATTTGTTAGCAAGTTTCAGTAGCTGTAGCTATTTTTAATACTTTTCCTTTAACCTTTATACTATAGTTAAGTGGTTAATACATCCTGTTTATATAATTGGAATTTACTATATCAGACTATAAAGATTTCACCTTATCAGTGTGGTGTTTACTTTGTATGTTTTCATGTCACTGATTCATGTCTTTTTGGTTCAGCTTGAAGAACTCATTTGAGCATTTTTCTTGCAAGGCAGGTCTGGTAGTGGTGATAAACTCCCTCATCCTTTGTTCATCTGGGAAAGCCTTTATTTCTTCTCCATATTTGAAGAATATGAAGAACTTTGCCAGATAAAATATGCTTGGTTGGCAATTTTTATCTTTCATCACTGTAAATTTATCATTCAGCTCTCTCCTGGCTTATAGAGTTCTGCTGAGAAACCTACTGACAACCTAAAGGGGTTCCTTTGTAGGGTACTTCTTTTTTCCCCTGGCTGCCTCAAGATTCTTTCTTTATCATTGATATCCGAGTTTCATTAGAATGTGTCCTGTAGAAGGTCTTTCTGCATTGAGATGATAGGATGTTAGCTTCATGGACTTGAGTATCTAAGTCATTCTCCATGTTTGGAAAGTTCTCAGCTTTTATTTCTTTAAGTAAGTTCTCTGTGCCCTTCTTCCTCTTTTTTCCTTCTGGAACCCCAATTATTCAAATATTTGCCTCTTTGATGGAATCTGATAGTTCTCATTGGCTTTCTTTACTCTTTTTCAGTATTAGTTCCCTCTCTGCATTATTTCTATATTCTTGTACTCCAGGTCACTTAACTCTTTCTTCCATGTGCTTTACTCTACTACGGATGCTCTCTATTATATTCTTCATCTCATCCACTGAATTCTTCAGCTCCAGAATTTCTGTTTGGGTTCTTTTTTATCATTTCAATCTCTTTGGTAAAGAACTTCTGGTCATTAATTTTATTCCTGATTTAACGGAATTGTCTTTCTGTTTTCTTGTAGCTTGTTGAGTTTCTTCTTAACAGCAATTTTGAATTCTTTATCAGATTGCAATATTTCAGTTGCTGGAGAATTATCATTTTCTTTGTGATATCCTATTTCCTTCATTTTTTCATATTGTTTCTTAGCTATGTGCTGCTGTTTTTGCATTTGAAGTAGCAGATGCCTCCTTAATTAAGCTTTTATGACATCTTTGTTTCTTAAAATTCATTAGGCTTACTACTAGAAACTTCCCTTTTGTATTCCAGAAGATGGTGCTGTAGCTCAATATGTAGTTTCTGAGCACACTCCTTGTCTACTATACCTTGTCCTCAATTGCACTTGGGGTACACACAGGAGCCTGCAGCAGAGCTGGGAGAGTATAGGTTTAGCACATGGATTACTCACATGGAAACTGATTAGTTAACTGACTTAATCTAAAACCATTTGTAAAGGGGGCTTTTTATTTAACAGTGTAAACGTTTTTT